TTTAAAAGACTAATGGGAAAATTCAGTTCATAGAACTTTTAAAAAAAATTTTCAGTTAATGGAACTTAAATTACCCTAATTGAAGCGCCACCTGCTGGCTGAGATGCTTCTAGCAAAGCATAGAAAACCAATACAATAAACTGGCTTGATTTGGGATCAGGGTAGAATCAAGAGACGCTCTTAAAGTTAAGTTACAAATCAGGAAGTGATGACAGACTACTGCAAGTACGCAACATCAAAATAATTTCACAGCCTTGCCTGAAAAACTTAAGAACTCCCTGTTTGAAGAGTGCCAGATACAATTCCTGTTCTGCATCTCCATCTAGTGGTCGACTATGTGTACTGCACTCCAAGCTCAGCTTGGTATCTGCATTCTGACCACTTCAATTTAGAAAAATACTTCTCACAAAGCTGACACATATTGTGTACCTTATAATGGTGCAATATTCTCTTTAATAGTGGTTGGGTTTTCTCAAAGGAATAATTACAGATTTTAAACTGTTAATCCACTTAATTTCCATTTCCTGTCACATTCATATGTTAAAAATAAAAAAAAAAATTCAGCCTGGCACTGGTGACTCACGCCTGTAATCCTAGCTAATCAGGAGGCTGAGATCTGAGGGTCTCAGTTCAAAGCCAGCCTGGGCAGGAAAGGCCATGAGACTCTTATCTCCAATAAGCCACCAGAAAACTGGAAGTGGAGCTATGGCTCAAGTGGTAGAGCACTAGCCTTGAGCTGAAGAACTCGGGAACAATGCCCAGGCCCAGAGTCTAAGCCCCAAGGCTGACAATCACCCCAAATGAGCTTTTTTACCTTAACTACCTCTTCAAAGATCCTTTCTCCAACTATTAGCATGTGCTTTGGTATTGGGGGTTAGTCTTGATTTTATTCTATCTTAGACTGTTTTGCAGGCACAGCTCTAAAGGCCTGAAAGTCTTAGTCCTGACAGCATCTAACGGGGAATTCTTGCCACCAGCCAGAGCTATTAACCATCTGAGACACTGGTCTAAACATTCTTTGCTTATGGGTGAAACTGGCATTTATTGTATCTGTTTTTGTTTTTTTTTTCTGCTGTTCTCGTTGTTTTAACTTGAGATTCTTTGTCTTTGAAGGTTGGGTTTCAACTCTTTTCCCCGTTTGGTATATCGATTGTTTTTCATACGATCATATAGCCAAACTCATCAAAATTATTAAAAATGTTTGGGGGGGCTGGGAAGGTGGCTCAGTGGTAGAGTGCTTGCCTTGCATGCAGTTCCTCAGCACCACATAGGCAAAAAGAAAAAAGCCAGAAGTGGCACTGTGGCTCAAGTGGTAGAGCGCTAGCCTTGAGCTAAAGAGCTGAGGGACAGTGCCAAGGCCCAGAGTTCAGGCCCCACGACCGGACCCCAAAAAAATGTTTTTGGGGTTGGTGTTATTCAACAAGTAAGCTCTTCAGTTGTCATCTAGTATAATTATGTCCTTGATCTGGAATTGGTAATAGTGTACAAAGGGAAGGAAGGATGTCAGGCCCCCAGCTCCAATTAGCCTAAGCTACTCCATTTTGCTAAAGACTGCATGTCACTTGGTAGAAAGGTCATTTTACTTCATTTTTGCAAAATTTCTGAACACAAGCAGAAGGACCCTGCTCACATCCTGTTTTGACAATATATTCCTGGAAAGGATTATGCAAACTAATGCCACCTTGGCAAAAACACTGGCAAACTAACCACTCCAAGCAGCTTCTTGGAACAGAAAGCTGAATTACAAAGCACAGCTGTACACTCCTTTTATTCTGCTTATCGTCCAGGTAGGATCTTGCTGTATGCCCGGGCAGGCCTAGCCTTTTGTGCATTCCTGCATTGCCTGGAATGACAGCACTCCACTGTACCAGGCTCCTGTGCTTCCTCGTGGCTAGGGTAGCAGGCTTGAGTGACCACGTCCAGGTGCTGGTTGAGATGGATCTCATGAACTTTTATGCCCAGCTTAGCCTCAAACTGATATCCCCCATTTATGGGGTAATACAAATTTTTCTCCTAAAGATTTGAAATGCAGCCTTTATCTTATATTACATTTCCTTATACATTTGGATTTATGTGTGTGTGTGTGTGTGCGGGTGGAGAGCTACCCGCTGGCACTTGGGCTTGAACTCAGAGCCTGGGTGCTTGCTGTCATGCAGCTTTTTACTCAATTCTAATACTCTAACACTTGAGTCATACCTCTACTTATGCCTTTATAGTAGTTAATTGGAGATAAGAGTTTTATAGACTTTTCTGCCTAGGCTAGTTCTGACACACAGCAATTTGAAATGGCTATTTTTAGACATTCTGAAATTTTATCCAGTTTCTCTTTGATCTGTGAGTTATTTGAATGAGGCATTTTGCTTTCTTTATGATCAAAAGTTTAGTTTTATTATCCTCTTAATCATATTTCATCAGAAATATATAAGAATTATATGCTGTGATTAAAAGTGGAGTCTCCAGGAGGCAGAGGTGGAAAATTATGGTTCAAGTCCAGCCTGAGCTAAAATTAGCAAGGCCCTATAATTCAAAACAAGCTGGAGGAAAAGAATCCGGGGACATAAAAGCTACCAGATTGTGAGGAGGAAAGGAGTGGAGGAAAGGAAAAGCTACATGGGGCCCAGGAGTTTACAGAGAAGCAATCACAGCAGAAGGAGAGCAGGGAGAAGTTTGGAGCCGTATCTGGCTCCCAGGTATGGACAGGAGGTTAAATGTAATGGTCAAAGGAGTCGCCAAACTAAGCTTCTGGAAAAACAAACCACAAGCTTCACTGACAACTCAGGGACTTGAGAGCTGGGACTAATCTGTGATGAGAAGCTGGACTATGGGAACAGAGCCATTCTGACTCCCCTATATCCAGAGTGACTGAGAACTGCCATCTGTTTATTCAGACCCTATCTGGAAATTAGTCTTCAAACAAATTGGGTGAGGCTCAAGGGGTATGCTTGCCCAGCAAACACAGGTAGAGTTCAGTCCTCAATTCTGGGGGAACAAAAATGGAGTCTCAGGATTTAGCATTCAAAAATATCACTCATTGCTTGCCTCACATGCTGGAGGCCCTGGGTTCGATTCCTCAGCACCACATAAACAGAAGAAGCCGGAAGTGGTGCTGTGGCTCAGGTGGTAGAACAGTAGCCTTGAGCTGAAGAGCTGAGGGACAGTGCCCAGATCCAGAGTTCAAGCCCATGACCAACACACACACACACAGACACAGAGTCACTCCTGTTCAGTCTTTCCTGAGATACCTTATAGAGGGCAGCTGCATGTACTGTCAGCACATTGGGTGTGGCTGCCATCTTGCTTACAGAACGTTGGAACTCCAGTTTTAGAGCAAACCGTGAGACAATTTGTTGTGCATCTATGCCCAGATGTGTATCTTTGCTAAATGAGCATTAGGAAAGATACTTCCCAGATTGCAAAAAGAAGAGAGAAAGAAGGACAAAAAGAAAGGAAAAGAAAGAAAAAAGGAAAAGGAAGAAAGAAAGGAATAAAAAAGGAAGGAAGAAAAGAGAGAAAGACAGGAAGAGCGAATCACAGGAATGAGCAGTCTTGTGAAATGGGAAACCTTATTGCTTCTGCTAGACTAGCTCCAGTTCTTGCTGCTGCTTCTGTACTCGACACCTCCCTACGATCAGCATCTTCTCTTTATTCCTCTCTCAGCAAAGTAAGAAACATCACGACGCACCCTCCCTCTCCTGCTACACTCCCCTTCTCTTGCAAAGATCACCCCTGGCCTCCTTAGATTTGGCGTTTGCTGTCACAGTTCCTCATACCTCTGAAGACACCTGGCCTCATGCCTGCTCTTCCCCACAGAGTGACCCATGTGCTCCTGACTTGTCACCATGTCATTCTCCGCCTAGCCCTGTCACATCCTCCCTCCAGGGCCTCCAGGACCCCCAACCTCCTCCCTGCTCTGATCTCCACCTTTAATCCCCATGACTCCCCCACGCCCAGCATCTCCCTTGCAAGCTCTCAGAACTTCCACCCCGGGGCTTCTCACCTCCTTAAGCACCATCACCAATTCGGTGGTTGTTCAGGCCAACAGCCTGAGATTCTCTCCTGTTCCCCTGGCCGCCAGCCCCACCTCCACTCTCCCATGCTGCCGGTGCTTCTATTCCCAGGGGAACTCTGGTGTTACTACTTTTCTCATGGTCACGGCCCCTACTTTGAGTGTGTCGAAGCCACATTCATCTCCCATCTGGACAACTGCAACGATTCCTATAGAGGGGCTTTTCCTTCCCAGCCGCTCTCCATGAGGAATCTGGCAGGGGGCAGAGGGGGCTGAGTCTCGGGCCCCACACTGAGCAGCGGTCAGCCATGTTTCGTAGGCTTTGCCACCCTCAGCCTATGGTTTATGATCCTTGTAGAGAAGTTCAGAGGCCCTGGGTGAGCCTGGCTCGGGTGACCGGCTCAAGGCTGAATCTACACGAACGGTGTTGACCGGCATCAAACTGCAGTCCCACAGCGTGGCCTATTTGCAGGAGTTGAGCCAATATTTGGACAGTTTTCCCCTAACTTTCCACTTGCCTTATGAATCATCACCAGCACGGTGGGACAGGGGATGGCTGGGAAAGGCGGGGGGCGGGGGGACACGCCTTAAGGTTTGCAGTGATTTGAGTGTGTCTACTTCGTAGACAAATGTGCTGAAATTAAAGCCTCAGTGATGCTGGAACTCCATTTACTAGGGAAAACCTGAGGCAAGGTAGTTTCAGCGAGGCACCTGGGGCAGGCGCTGGGACCTGGGACAGGCCCTCAGCCCGGGGGAAGAGGCTTGGGCGGTGGAGATGGAAGGAAGTGCATTGTCAGCCAGAGGGAGGCTAGACCTCGGGTCATGGTGATCAGCCTGCGCTGGTCAGGGCCGGGGTCACGGTCAGGGTCCAGGTCAGGGCCCAGCCAGTAGGAGGGAGGTGGGTGGGACCCCGAGGGAAGGTGTGGGAGGCCAGGGCTTGGCCCAGTCCTGAGTGGGGAGGAGCCCGAATGCCTGGAGGGGACTCAGGAGGTGGGGTTTGGGGCTGCAGGGTTAAGAGCTGCCGGGAAGGGGCTGACAGCCTCACAGCGGTTTCTCTGCAGCAGCAGAGGAGAGGAGACTCCTGAGGCTGGAGGAGGTGAGCAGGGGGCGGCATGGGGAGTGGCTGGGCAGCCCCGAGGAGCCAGGGAGCCCGCCCGAACGCCGGGCGTGGGACACCCTTACTTCGTGGCTCCCTGCTCCCTAGGCCACCTGTGTAGCAGGGGTCTCCGGGAGGGCTCCCCAAGGGAAGTCCTGCATCAAGCGTGGACTGACAGAGACAGGAGGGAGGAGACCCCAGCAGAGGCGAAGGAGCCTGGACCTGCCTGGAGCTGGAGAGCCTAAGGCCAGGCATGCAGAGAGCCCTCCATTTCTGGGGCTGGGAGCAGAGCTGCTGTCTGGCCCAGCCCGTGGGGGGTGGGGGGGCAGCTCTACAATGGGGGGGAATCGGACAGCTCTGCAACCCCAATCCCCCCAACTCCGGGGCCTCACACTTGTTTACACTCTGCAAAAGTATTCACTTCCAGACTGCCTCCCTTGGTGCTCCAGTCCCAGCCTCTCCCTGGCTTTTGGCAGAGCCTGAGACGTGGGGAGGGGCAGGGACTCTGGGAGCCGGGAGATTCCAGACTAGGGATGGGGGGTGGAGGCTAGGAGGGACTGGGGGGGCGTGGAAACCGGGAAAGACTGGGCCAGAAAAGAGGCTGACAACAGGACCGCTTCCCAGACCATGGGCGACGCGCCTGAACCCCCGCTGGCCGCGGTGAACAGCACTGGGCAGGCTAGAAGGGGCCAGGTGGACCCCAAGTGCTCTTCCCAGCAGGGCCATCCCCCCCCCCCGTGGTTTCTCCACCTCTGCCCAAAGGCCTGTGGGCACAGGCCCCAGAAGCGCTGGGGGGGGGGAGGGTTGGGCCAGGCCACTGAGGACAGCACTCGCTCTATGCAGGCCAGAGTGACAGGCAAGGCCATGTGGCAGCTGCTGATCCCGCTGGCCCTGTGGCTGGGCACAGGATGGGCCCAGCTCCCCGAGACCCAGCTTTCAGAGACACAGCACAAGAGCCTGCAGGTGGCCCTGGAGGAATTCCACAAGCACCCCCTTGTACAGTGGGCCTTTCAGAAGACCAGCATCAACAGCGCCTTGGACATGGTGCGTGGCGTGCGGGGCCCCGAAAGCCTGGGCCCAGCCACCTCCAGGGCTGGGCTGCTCCACAGTAGGGGCCGGGGGTGGCAGGACACTGTCACTTCCAACCTGGCCTCTGGCCTTGCTGCTCGTCTGTCCACAGCCCTTCCCCGCCGGCACCTTTGTGAAAATGGAATTCAACATCCAGCAGACCAACTGCCACAAGAAGTACTGGAAGGAGGCCCGCTGCAAAGTCCTGCCCAAGGGGGTGAGGAGGGCCTGTGGATGGACAGGGCTGAGGCCGGGGTCCTCACCATGGCACACACCGCCAGGGCTGTGGGGAGGGAGGGCAAGCAGAGCAGGGGAGGGGCATGTCTCCACCAGTGGGTCCTTCCCTGTCCAGCGTGACAGCTCACTCATGAAAGACGTTCCTGGCATGGGGTTCACCCTGAACCTACACTAGGCCACGGCGGATTCACACAGCAGGGATTCTGTCATCTGCCCCTTAGGGGTAAAGCTGCTGCTACAGGGCGGGGTGACCGCCAGATGAGGGACGGAGCCTGCTGGGTTCCCGTCCCTACTCTGTGGTCACCAGCTTTGTGGGTTCTAGTGTGGCAGTTTATACCTGTAATCCCAGCAATTGGACACTAAGGAAGATCGCCAATTCTATGTCAGCAAGAGCTACATACATACGTACACACATACATGCATACACACGCAGCACTTCTAGTTCAAAAACATCCACGTGATTTGACCTCTAAAACGGCCCAGCCCTAGGGGGGCTGTGCCTGAGACCAGCTGGCCTATGCAGACCCTTGCCCAGCAACTCTGGAGCCTGCTAGGGGACCTTGTGCCCCAGCAGCTCGGCCCCCACCGCCCACACCTCTCTCACCCCTCTCCTCTGCTCTTCCAGAGGAAGCGCAGATGCCTGGCCTGCATCAAACTGGGTCCTGACAATCATGTTCTGGGACGGATGGTCCACTGCCCTGTTCAGCCACAAGGGCATCAGGTCAGAAGGGACAGAAAGGCCTGGGAGGAGGCTGGAGAGATGGGGAGAGGCTGAGTCTGCGGGAGAGGTTGAGGAGGGGAGAGGGTGAAGATGGGGGGTGAGAGGGCACTCTGGGTATGGTCCAGAGCATTCCCTAGGGGGTGTGGAGGTGTCCCCCCTTCTGCACACTGTTGCCAGTAGCTGTTGGTGCTGACAGGAGACCCAGAGGCACCACTGCGCCAAGGTGGAACGGGCTGGTGAAGACAGCTTGTACCTCCCCGGACAATTTGCCTTCCTGAAGTCTGGGGCCTCCAAATGAGCCCCAAATTGGTAGGTGGCCTGGGGCAGGGGCAGCCCCTGAGATGGAGGCTGGACATTTGCTGGCTGTGGCAGGCAGGGAAGGGGTGGATCAAGACTGGATAAAGGCTAAGACCGGACCAGAACTGTCTCTGTCACATTCCAATCTGGTTCTCCTTCTCCACTAGAATTGTTCCCCACTGAGGACAGCTGCATGCCGGAGCGGATGGCAGGCCCCGCCCACCCAGACTGGAGGCTCCAGCTTCTTCTGGTCTAATAAACCTGTTCTCAGCACTTACCGACCTGTTTTGTTGTGTTGCTCTTCTTTCTGTAGCTCAGTCTACTCAAGGCCAGCTGAAAGGGGGAGGGTGGTGTGAGGGGGTGGGGTGGCATGCAAGCCCCTTCCTGCTGGACCCCCAGGAAGAAACAATGGGGTGAGTGGAGCCTCTAGTCCGGACTTGAGTGACAGGCGGCGATGTAGATAAACACAAAGCCATTTAATGAGAGTAGATGAGAAGTAAGCCGGCCACGGAGCGGCTGTGAACACAGGTCCGGGTGCACCCCACCGACAAGGGGGAGGGGGCAGTGTCCTCAGGGGGGCAGCTGAGAGGACTGCACTCAGGACAGGGAGAGATGAACAGCTGAGGGTGCAGGGCCCCGGGCTGGACTGGAGAAGACCGCGAGGACAAGTGCAGAGGCAGGGAAGTGCCGGGCTCCCTGGGCCTGGGCTGCATTCAGAAGACAAAGGAAGACGCGGCCCCAGCAGGGCTGAGCGTCTGCTGGGCCCGCGCGAGGCGGTCACTGGCCTGGCGGTCCAGGTCGAGGCACTCCTGCAGCGTGTCCTGGAACTGCCGGCAGGCCTCCTCCAGGATGGAGCTGCTCCGGGTGGGCCAGCTCTCCCAGTACCCAGGCTCCACCCAGGGCTGGGCCTCCGAGGCTCGGGGGCCTGGGCTGGAGCTGGGGCGCAGGGAGCTGTCCAGGTCTCGGCACAGCTGGTAGAACTCACTGCCGCGCCCGCTCACGCGCTCCCCGTCTAGGACCTTCAGGCCAGGCAGCAGCTCTCGGACCGCAGAATGGTAGGAGGGGCTGGCACACAGCGGGTTGCTGAGTCGGGCCAGTGGGTCCTGGAGCCGCAGGTGCTGGAGGCCCTGGAGCCCAGCCAGACACTGCAGCTGGCCCGGCGTGGCCAGCAGGTTGCCCGCTGCATTGAGACTCTGCAGGTTTTCACAGGCCGCCAGGGGCTCCAGCCCCGTCAGCCGGTTGTTGGAGACATTGAGCACGGCCAGCTGGTGCAAGGCGGCCAGCGGGCCCAGCTGGGTGAGGGCGTTGCCTGACAGGTCCAGCCACTCGAGGGCCAGGCACTCGCCCAGGCAGCCCAGGTCCACCAGCCCCAAGTCTCGCAGCTTCAGCAACAGAATGGACTCCAGAGCAAACTCGCCCGTGCGGGACTTCAGCAGCTGGGGTGTGATGCGCAGCCCCTCAGCCTCTCCTGGCTTCTCACCAGGAGGCTCCATGATACGGAGGTTGACAAGGTGGCCTGGGGCCTGGCAGTGCCGCCACAGGAACCTGGGGACCACGAGCGGTCAGACGGCTGCTCCTCCTTCAACGCTCCTCAGCCCAGGGCTGGGAGGCCTGCTCCTGATGCCCTGGCCCAGGGCTCAAGGACCCTAAGGAGAGACAAACAGTCAGGAAGGCCTCAGAGGATCCACCAGCCTTGGTCCTGAGGCAACCATCACCAGGCACACATGGCCTCCGCCCAGTCCGGCAGCAGCCTTAAGTGACCCCAGAATGAGAGAAGTGGCCGCACCAACAGGGGATGTATGTCCTCCATAACCAGCTCTGTCCACCTGTCAAATCTGGACCATGGGCAGAAATCTCACTGTTTTCGGGAGCATGGCCAGGTCCCACGCCGCCAGGCCCCCTTGGCCATCCAAACAGTCAGACAGCGGCGGCAGGACAGAACTATGACATCACCACCCCAAGGCCAAGTGGGAGATGCTCTGCTCGAGAGTCAAAGCAGCTGTCTGGGAGGTGCGGGGACACTGAAGCTATCCCGGAAATGGAAGGGTGGGCAAGAGTGTGTGTGTGTGTTTGTGTGTGTAATATGCCGCTGACGCTGCCCACACAGGGTGGGTCAAGGTTCAAGCAGAGAGGAAAACAAGCAGACCTCTACTCCAAGTGCAGCTTCCCAAACCTGCAGACTTTGGCCAGCCTCAGACATCTAAGCTAGGTGGACAGGGATCGCCTGCTAGGTCCTCAGGACTGCTGCCAATACCACTTACAGGAGTATCAACCTCCACATCACTTTTTACCCCCTCAGCCCCCTCATCGTCCCCATCTGGCAAGGAGTCAGCATGTCAGACTGAGCAGGGGGGTGAAGCCACTGTGAATCCAATCATAACTGCAGGGGAGCACTAGGCACTAGACACCCATGAATGTTCTAGAAACCTAAGAGCAATGGATCCAATCCAACCAGGGCACAGAGTGGCAGAGAGGAGGGAGAAGCTGGGATTTATCTAGGTGAGGTGTGACGTGATAGAACGAGGCAGGAGACCCCATGGACGGGGCGCAGCACTTGCACAGCATTCACAAGCACTGAGTTTGATTCTTAGACACTGTCAGCAAGAGGTGGCCACTGGGGTCAGAGAGGACATTCAGGCCTCTTGAACTATCCGCAGGCCTCTCATCAGCAGGATCCACCTGCAAGAATCCCACAGAGAACGTGATGCAGAGGCCAGGGCTAGACTCCTGCAGCTGCCAAGTGAGCCTGGGAGGATACTGAACGCAGCCTGGTGATGGAACCTAGCTAAGCCAAGGCCCAAAGCCTGGCTACTATTTGCCTAGCCCCAGATGGAGATGAAGCCAAAGCTGGCCATGCAGGGCTGAATAAGGCTTTTCCAAGGGAAACGGTGTCACGAGGAGAGGCAGGGGAGTGGGCTAACAGGGCAACATCACAGAGGTGCTAGTCGGGCACACTCACCATGCTAAAGCTGCAAGGAGTTTCCAGAAGAGGCAACTGGGGGGTCAAAAGACCCAGCTGGGACAGAAATCAGATCTTCTCCACCCCGGTGCCATGCATGTGAGCCATGCATCCTGCATCACCCGCTCCATCTGTGCTGTGCTGTCCTGCCCTCTGAGACACAGGCCATCTGGGCTTTGGTGGTGGATAAAATAAGGCACTATGGGTTGCTGCCAAACCCTCATCTTGTGGCAACTGGAGGTATGTCAAACCCATGAAACTGCCCGCTTCGTGGCGCAGGGCTCTAGAAGGGGCTAGGACTATAGGCAGGGGGTCCAGGTGCAGCCCCCCTTCCATGACGAACCTCTGGGGGAGCTTGAGAGCATATCCCTACCATCCCCCATCCACTCCCAGCCCCTAGTGAAGAGGAAGCTCCAAGCAGCATTCAAATCATACCACTCTCCCGACTGAATACGTTCACAAACTGTTGTTTACAAAATGCCACTGTTTATTGTTAAGACTGCCTACTAAATAATGATCTTCAGGACCAATGTCAATGCACTGAGAGACCGTCTCTGACAGCATCAGTTACTCTGTCCTTCTTCCTTGTACTTTCATCCAGTTTTTTACTACCATAGTAGAAATACACAGCAGGTCAGAGGTGCCAGTCCGGGGAGAGGACGGCTTGTTCGCTTCAAGTATGCACGCTCCATCTCCCAGTCCACGCTAGCTGCCACCGGGCTCAGGGACCAGGCATCCTCAGGGCTGCCCCCAATACTCCTGGCCCCTGCATTCCCTTCTGTCCAGCCCCACTCCTTCCTGAATCCCAGCATTCACATTCAGGTCTTGAAAACAATCCTACAGGAATTCTGGGCAATTTGTCCCAGTAGGCACTACACACTTCTATTCCAAATAAGGGACCTGCCCTACAAAAGTAGCCGGGAAGGGGCGCGGGGTGGGGGAGTTACTGGCAGTAGAAGACTCAGCCACCCAGTGGTTAAGATGGGCTCGCTAGTCAGTTTCATTCATCAGGATTGCTCCTGGCCACACTAGCATTCCCAAGACTTCATGTGCACACATCCCTCCCAAGATGGCTACTGGACCCAGGGTTTCTGCAGAAGCCCATGCACGCTCTCAGGGACTAAGTCAAGGCCCCTCCAACAGCATGGCTTCTCTGCCCCTGGCTGCATTCTGGGAAGGCCTGCAGCCATGTGTCCACCTGGCAAATGGTATTCAAGGCCCTGAATGCCCAGGATATTCCAACAAAGTGCTGTGCCTGATAAAACTACATGCTTGAACTCACTGCATGCCGATAGATACAAATGGATCTACCAGAGGGAATGGAAAATGACTTCACTCAAAAATGAGGGTAGTGATCTATCAAGAATCATTCTCACCAAACAGGTGGGAGACTAATGATCAGGACACAGCTCCCAGCTCCTCTCCCCCATCTGCTGAGGGGCTGGAAGGTTCTGAGGGCAGCAGACTGGGTGCCCCTGTAAGCTCTGAGGTATTTATGTGTACGTCTGAGTGCCCACGAGGCCAGGCAGTTAGGCTACAGGGTCTGCTCCCCGTCGGCAAGGCCAGGACTGGAGGTGAGGGGCGGTGGAGTGTAGTGGGGGAAGCTTTCCAGGTTGGTCTTCAGGAAGAGGAGGTGCTCGATGGTCTCCACCCTGAGAGGTGGGTTTGGTTCTGAGACTGTGGGGCTGCTCAGGGAGGCCAGCACCCTTTCAGAGAAGGCCCTTGTGGGTGGGCAGGACAGGTAGAGGGTGGCCAGGTGCGCCAGGGCCGGCCAGGTCTCACACTTCTTCTCCCAGTAGGCCAGCGGGTCCTGCTGGGCCCCGATGGTCTGGTTCTCCCGCAGGTACTTCCTGACGATGACACTAGCCAGGTGGTTCTCGGTGGAGAGGGAGGCCCCGTTCCTCTCAGAAGCCAACAGCCCCACGCTTTCCAGCTGCTCCAGCAGGCTCTTCTCCCTCTGCACCAGCAGGAAAGAGCTGGAGTCGCCAACACCCTGCACGGGCTCTCTGTGGCCTCTCCCTTTCACCCCAAGGCTCCGGGCTACCTTGCCCACACGTAAGCCCTTGGGACCCTTCAGTCTGCCCAAGGCAGGCAAGGGACCCTCCGATACCATGAGCTCCTTCACCTTGTACACGAGGACCTGCTTCCAGTGGTCGATGTCAGCCCCCGCGGGCAGGATGGCCTCGACCTTGCCCTTGAAGCGGGGGTCCAGCAAGGTGGCCAGCACAAACTCCTCCCGATGGAAGAGCTCGTTGAGCTGAGCATGTGTGGAGAGCTGCAGGGCCAGGCCCTCGGCTAGCCGCAGGGCCATAGCCGCCTCCCCGCCGCTCTGCTCCGTGAAGTGTCTGTGGACCTGCTCCAGGAAGATGTGGAGATAGCGCAGCTGGGGCAGCACCTGGCTTAGGGAAGCCTGCGCTGTGCTGGCCTCACGTAACACCATCTGGAAGGGCTGCAAGAGCTTAACAAGACTGTCTGTCAGGCTCCAAAACATAGTAGACAGGGTGGTGCTGGCTTTGCCTGACTGCTGCTTCTCTGCATACGCCTGCAGGGCCTGCTTCTGCTCTGTGATCCACTCCATCAAGCGGTACGCCGAGACCCAGTGGTCTGACAGCTCCTCAAAGGGCTGCTGCTGCAGTGGGAGGCTAAATTGTTGCTGGAGTTGGCCAAGGAGCCGCCGAGCCTCTGGGGAGCCTTGGAAATGGCTGAAGATGGCCCTGGCTGTTCCCAGGATGATCTGGACACTATTATGGTGACACAGAAAGTTGTTCACCAGGGAGTCAAGGCAGTGGGCGAAACAAGGTATGTGGACAAAACCTTCGGTTCTCACCATCTGCTCCAGGCTGGGCCAGCCACCTGACACAAGAAAACCAGCCTTCAAGGAGGCTCGGCCCAGCCACAGGCTGATCTGCTCCAGCAGCTCCCGCTGCCGGTCCTCACCGACTGGTTCCCCGGGCAGGCCTCGGACCCACAGCACAGCTTGCTTCCTCATGCCCCCCGGTGTTACAGGCCTGCTGGGGGACCAGGCCGACACCCAGTGGGCAGTGATGGCCACGTAGGTGACCGCTGAGTCCTGGGCTGACATGAAGGAGGTGAAGTGAACATGGCCGCCCTCAGCCCACTGCATCTCCTGCAACACCTGCTCTCGCATGGCTTCATGGAGCAGGGGTAGGGCCTTGTCGGAGAAGAAGCCTGGCGAGGGCAGGCGGTAGCTCGGGTCCACCTGGGACAGGAACCTCTTGAAGGGCTGGGAGGAAACAAAGGAGAACGGCAGGGCCAGGCTACAGAGCAGCTCCGTGATGCTGTGGTTCCAGGCTGGTGTGCACGGCCGACTGGAAGCATGTGAGCCGCTCTGGTTGTCTCTGACAGCTTCAAAGGAAGCAGGCAGGTGTGAGGGGGCCGGGAGTGGGAGCAGCCGCTCATCGCCACCCACCGCGGGTTCCCTGTCACTGCCTTCTGAAGATACAATGTCCAAGTGCCTCCTTGGAACAAATACGGTGGTCCCAGTGGGCAAGGCCATCAGCTGGGCCTGCTCTGCCCCACTCACCCCTGTGGCTGGCCTTCTTTCCCACTCCAGTCCATGCTTACTGGCCAAGTGGCGGATGAGGCCCGAGACTCGGGACCACCCCATGGTTTTACCCCTTCTGACACCAGAGTGACACAGGATACAGAGGATACGGCAGGCTTTCTTCAGATCGACAGTGAAGAACTGTCTGATGTCTAGGTTGGGCTTGGGATCCATGGTGTGCAGAGGGCCCGGGGAAGGTGGAGTAGAATCTAAGCCATGGGTCCCTGCTTTTACAGCTCGGATGCGCTTCTCCACGCAGGGAGACTCCTGGAGGCTCAGCTCCGCCCCTGCCTTCTCCTTCCTGCCAGGAAGCAAGTGCTTTTTCTTCCATTTCTTCAGGTGCTGTAGGTCTGCAACTAGATGGTTCGTGAGAGTGTCAGCTCGCCTCGTCTCCTCTTGCTCCCTGCACTGGCTCACCTCTAACCTGTCCAATCTGTCCCTTCTAACCACCTGGGGGGCCTGGGGACTGGGCTGGCCCTGAGCTGAGGTAGATGGGGCAGGGCCAGTGGTCATCTTTCCTGCCTCCTCTCCTCCTCTACTCCCACATGCCTTGCGCCTGGATGCTGTTCTCCTCTCAGGTCGCACAGGGTGTTCCTGCCTAGGCACCAGTCTGTGGCCGTGGGTTCCGGAGTCTCCTTTCAGCTTACTCTGCCCAGGGCTGTTTGGACACTTTGTATGGAAGGTGACAGGCCTGCTCAGAGAGTGGGATTTTCTCTTCCTGCTGTGGGCATGCAAGTCAAGGGCACTGTCTGCCTGTTTCTCCAAGGAAATTTGGTTCAGGTCAGGCAAAGAGACCACTAGCTCCCTAGGCAGGGGGTAGGGGCTGCTCCTCTGCAGGGTTAAGTCCTTTTCTTGCTTCTTTTGAGAGCCAAAGGGTCTAATTTTCCTCCCGTGGCAACCATCAGCCTTTTCCTCTAGGTCCACAAGCTCAAGTTTGACCCCAGTATCCAGCAGGCCCTCCCCAGCAGCCTGACCCATCCGACAGGGAGTGTTGGTAGCTTTGGTGTTGCTGTCAGAACGGGGACAAGCTGGGGTAGCAGCTGGGCTCTTAGGTCTAGTCACAGGGGAGGTGGCATGCACACAGAGCTCCTGCCCAACTGTTTCTGAGGGTGGCTGTTTCTTGGGGGTCTTTTTGACTTTTTCCATTTCCAACATGCTTGGAAACTTGGGGAAATGAGAAGATGGACCTGGGCTGCAAGGCAAGATAAAAAGAACGGCTCTCAGTCACTTAACTCTGGGGACGCCAAGGGAAAGGCCAGACAGGAGAGAACGGGAGAAGCAGTAAGACGGAGCAAGGTGGTGAGAGATCAGCCCCAGAACAAAAGCCCCCAGGTGACAGCCCCCTTGGTAAGGGGCGACCTTCACCCCTCCAGCCCTCAGCCAGACCTCTACACATTTGTGATTTCTGGGTCCTTCTTTACCACACTGTCTGATCTCTGACTTTCTTCCTTCAGTGTTTGAAAATGCAAGAGGTACTCGATCTTTCTATGTGTCATGGACATAGAAGAGGGCAAGACCGCTGTGTTCACTCACAACACACAGAACTACAGCCACGCCGAGGGCACAAAGGACCCCAGTCAGGGAGGAGGTGGACCTTGCCAAGGGAGAAGCCTCAGAAGCTTCTGGGGGAGCAGCTAGCCTTTCCGGTTTGGGTGCTGGTCAGGAGAGGGAGGAGCTCTTAGTCTCTGTGTCCTGAGCACCGGGAAGGCATCATACAGTGAAATGCAGCTCAGTATTTGTAAATAAAGCAGCCTATGCCATACTAAGCCAGAGGTTTTGCTCATTCTTCCTGAAATGTCCTGTATAAAAGCCAGTCTCCTGCAAACAACCTATTGGGACAGCTCCCCAACATCAATGACTTCAAGCTCCTTTCATGTTCCTTTCTCTGTCATAGACAAACCTCCTCTCTTTTCCTTTCAAAACTCACTCCTTGGCTGGGCCCTGGTAGCTCATGCCTGTAATCCTAAGTAATTAGAAGGCTGGGATCTGAGGATCACAGTTCAAACTCAACTTGGGTAGAAAAATCCATCAGATTCTCATCTCCAACTAGTCTGCAGGAGCTGGAAGTGGAGCTGTTGCTCAAGTGGTAGAGTACTAGCCCTGAGCACAAAGAGCTAATGCCAGAGCAAAACAACAACTAAAACTTACTCCTCCCTGGCTCTTAGACTGGCCTGGGGTCCACCTTGCCACTAACACAATGGGCTTCTCTGTAACACCCTGAGAAGCCCCAGGCTGTTTCCCTGCTTTAGAATGTTCCTTCCCTGGGCCCTAGAGCACATTTTCTTGGTTTACCTCACACCTTTGACTCCTGCTTGGTCTCTTTTCTGGTCCCCTCCTCCTCTGAGTATCTGTGAATGATGGTCCCTGGGCTACCTCAATGGGCCCTCTAAGCTCACTCACTGCACAATCTCCAGGCTGCTCTGCATTCCTCCCACTGTCAGTTCTCTCCCAGGCTCACAACTCTTTAGTCAGCCTTCCTTGCCTGCCCTTCCTGCATTCAACTTGACCTTGGCAAATCAGACACCCAGCCACTCAGATGCTCCAACACCAAACCTAGATGTGATCCTCAACACCATTCCCCTCATTCACTTCTCTAGACATCAGATCATGTGCAGGGTTATGAATAGAAGACACACAGGAAAAAGGAAGAAAATGAAAAAGAAAGAAGTGTTCACTGAGCCAAGATGTGTATCCTCGCGATGGAGGCGAAATCTCCGCACACCACAACCAGGTAAAATTATAGAGGGAGACTAAGATCAAGTACCTAGAAATTCCCCTCCCTCCCTCCCTTCTTCCCTTTCCTTTTCTTCTTTCTGTACAGGTACTGTGGCTCACACTCAGGGCCTTGTGCTCTTGCTCAGCTCGCTTAACTCATGGTTGGCACTCTACCACTTGAGCCACATATTGTACATCATCAGATGGCAGTGCTGCTTCTAACAGGTGACAAGCTGCAGAGGTAGCTCTGAGGCTGCTGAGAAGAAGCTCCTTCCAATTACAAGAATCTCAGAGGGCTAAGAGCAAGCAGCTATTGCTGGAACTCAGCCAGCCACCAAGACATCAAATGAATGACACGATGTCACATGAGAGTGGAAGAGCTGGAGAAAGCAGAATCAAATGTAAGACACTGTTCTAGACTGAAAAGAACTGCTCCAGATGGCAGACCCGCAAGGACTTACCTCAGCTTTTATTTCACGACTAAAGAGACTGCAAGCCAGGCTGTCAATCCAAGCTTCCAGAAGCAGAAGCCTCCAGGCACCCCAGGCTGTATCACTAGTAATGAAGACAAAGGACAAAAAATTAAAGAAAGCCCAAGATATAGAACATGGCATCAACAATAGTAAAGAAAAGGGAAAAACCTGCGTGTTGGAGCTGCAGCCTGAGCAAACCCTCGATCCTTCATCTCAAGACATATTCACTTATCTCAGGCACCAATCCTGTTCTGTTTCTTAATTACCTAACCTCACCAGGGCTCTAAACTCTACAGATACTGGGATACATTCAGTTGTTTAATATGGATCCATAAAACATCTCCTCTAGGCCAGTGCTGTACCCTCTGGTTGGTACTTGGGGCTCAGGCTGCGAAAACTTGGAAATGAAGAGCTGGAGATGTAGCTCAGTGGTACACTTCTTGCCTAGCAAGCACAAGGCTAGGGGTTTAATCTTCTGCACCACAAAGGGGAAAAACAACAACAACAACTTGGAATTGAGGAATAAGCTGCAGCACATGGAGGCTTCCCACAAGACATCTCACTTGACTTAAAGATAGACTGAGTATTCTACAATGAAAAGCTTACATCCTGTAAAGAGTTGTCTACTTAGCTTTAGGATCATTAGTTCCTGACAGCATGATTGGGGATCTTGGATAGGAGTCACTGGTACAATAGTAATGTCACCCCATTCTTTCCCACTGGAGCACATCAGGACAGTGGGCTGATGTTGTTAGGGGCAACCTCAAATCTAAATGAATCTAACATGGAAATCTTAAAAAGAAAATCATCCACAAGTATTTTGATATGGCATGTCACCGTGGGTAACAAACACAGAGGACTGTAAGCACAAGCCAGTATATAAGTCTTTCTAGGCCGAGGAGCCTTGGTGTAGAGCCTGTGGTGGTCACATGAGAAGCAGACTGGAAAGCAACTCCAGACAAGGTAGCCAGAAGAATCACTTGGAAGGAAGCAGGAGGTAAAGCAGGGTTGGAGCAGATCAAGGTGGGAGAGGAGGCCACTGAAGAGCCATCCAGGGGTACAATATACTGAATTGGGATGTGGAAGAAGGGTAGAGCACAATTTCCTGGTGATCCTATTATCTTTCACAGGTCTGTCTGGATATACTGAGCTTGAGGTTCTTGAAGAATCTCAAGGAACAAGCCTTTAGGCATGTTTCTACAGAAAATAAGCAGATGCACTAGGAGTGGAGGGTAGCTACCCAAGAAGTGCTGCAAGTATGAGAGAACAGTGGATGAACAGATATCAAAGATGTCAAAGAGAAGCAAAGGGAAGAAACACAGAAAAACTAGAGAAGACACTAATTTTCTTTTGGGGAAGCCAAGGCTAGAGAAACCAAGGGGAGAGACTTTTCAGAAGTGTGGTCAGCAGAATTAGTGGTGCCTTTAGTGGATGAGAATGATAGCACCTGTGCAGTATAGTGACGGGGAGGGAGAAGCAAGTAGAGCTGCACACAGTAGCTACGGGGGAAGGGATCCAGGACTCCCCTAGACACCAAAATCTATGGGTAAACAAGTCCCTTATATAAACTTTCCCTTACACTTTAAGTCATGTGTACAATATCTCTGTAATATCCAGTATCTGTATTTCCATAGTATCTAGTACAATGCAAATGCTTTGTGAATTAGTTACTACATTGCAGTGTTTAGGAAATAATAACAAGAAAAAAAGTCTGTACAAGTTCAATTCAGTCTCCTGCCCGCTCAAAATTCGATTCTCCTCTTGATGACTCTGGTGAAGAGAGGGAAAGAAAAGCTTGGATGTGTCCCTAAACGTTACCAGGTGCATGCCACAGGAAGAGAGGTAAGGTGGGGCAAGTGTTTGGGGGCGTAGCCTTGGAGTCAGGAAGAAATCTTGTTTTTCTTCCTTTTTTTTTTTCCCTTTGGTGCCAGTACTTGGGCTTGAGCTCAGGTTAGGGCCTGAGCACTGGCCTTTAGCTTCTTTCACTCAAAGTTGGCACTCTACCACTTGAGCCACAGCTCCACTTCTGGCTTTTCTGCTCATTAATCGAGTCCCTTCTGCAACGGCGATCCTCAGATCTCAGCTTCCTGAGTAGCTAGGAGCGCCAGCGTGACCCACGGGCCCGCGATTATTTTTTTCTTAGAGAGAAGGATGGATGGGTCTGGTAGCAAGCAAGTCCTTCACCTGGGCTGGGGAGAAAACGGAGGCAGTTTCCGCCGGCAGCAGTTCTCCAGCGAAAGCCACGCAGTGAACAGGCGAGCAGCCTTTGAACAGGAACGACGACTTTCCTTCCCACCCGCGCGCGGGGAAGGGCAGCGGCCACGCTCTCGTCTGGCGCACCCGGGACATTAAATAGTTCCCCCGGACCTTTCCCCCGTCCTCGGTCTGCCAGGCGCTCCGGACCCCCGCCCCGCCCCCGGCCTCATCCCTCCCCCATCTGCACACCTCACGCGGGGCGGCCGGCCGGACCCCGGCCCTTCGCTGGGAGGGCACGGTGAGGGCTGGCGAGAGCGGAGCGGCGAGCGCCCGCCCCTCCCCGGAAGGTTGGGGGTCGCGGCCGCCCGGCCCTCCCGGTCCCCTCCCCTGGGGTCTCACCATTTGCTCCTTA